AATTATTACTATACTAAAACTACACATTATTATTATTATACTAAAATTATAATAATCTTTTATAATTGTCCAATAGTGTCTGTGCTAGTCTATCAGCTCTTCTTGTATTCTCTTGTTTAATTATTTCTAGAAACAAACCAAAATCTTCTCCATCCTCTCTAATGGATGCTTTAACTAAACTAAGCAGCGCGTCCATTCTTTGATTAGCAGTTAGTCCACATCTTTCATCAAGAACTTTAGTTTTTTCTCGTTCGTTTATCATCCTCTTCTCAATTAGCTTATCTACTAATGTATTTAGATCAAGCCTTTCCTTTATCATTCCAGTACATTCTGTCATTACTCTATGAGCAATATCAGATCTAAATGTACCTATTAATGATATAAATTCAGTGATTAGTGTGTTATTATGTTAATATCAACCATACCTTCTTCAGTCTCTCTCCTGGTTTGACTTATACTAGCAGTAGAGGAGCTTGAGCTAGTACCTTGTACTGTTGAAGGAGGAGGAGGAGGAGCAGTTCTCAGAGATCGATGAATGAATAATGTCTTAGGATCAGCCACTCCATCCAGTGGTACAGAATAATGTAGTGATGGTACAGCACTAGGTGAAGCATAGACTGATATTAGACAAGTGGAAGGAAGAGGATAATTAGCTTCACCAAACTTATCAACATCACAACGTAGAAACTATTAATATACACATACCAACCATCAGTTATACATTATATTGCAGTACTTACTCTACAAGGCTTAAGGTGAGGCTCAATACTCCAACCAATGAATGGCTTCTCTTGAGGAGCATCAAACTTCAATTCAATATACCCATCATAATCTTTGAAATGAAATAGAATATTCTGTCCAACTTCAGCTTGAGAGTGTCTCGTATCAATAAACTGTAAACAACCATTATTCATTATAAAATACAATATATAATGTTTACTTCAAGCAGTGCATTAAGATCTTTAGCAGCAGTAAAAGTAACTAAGTCTTCAGCGTCTTTCTTCTCGTAATAAACCAGTCCAGCATAAGCCATATTCTCTACTATACCAGTGGAAATTACTACTTTACCTATACACAAATATACATTAATTAATATTCACTGCATGTGTGATGTACTTACTATTAACATCTGAACAAATCTCAGTACAAGGTATTGGAGCAGTTGCTTCTTCATGCTGTGGTTCTTCATGATCCTTTGACTCTTCTACTCTTTCATTATCTTGCTCTTCATTTCCTTCCTCATGTAATGGCTCACCTCCAGTCCCCCCCTCTTTCTCTACTCCCTCATTACTAGTAGACTCTCCTATATAGTGGAATAGATTCAGTTTATTATATACTAGTACACACTCACTCACTCATTACTCACCTTGTCCTCTACTCCTACCTCCTGGTGGATCTTTAGTCTCATCAGAATCACTGGATGAATCACTATTATCATCTTCCACTTCCTCCTCAGTTTCGTCTTCTGCTTGTTCCTCTTGCTCCTCCTCCTCTTCCTCTGACTCTTCTCCATTAGTTGATGATTTGGGTAGACGTTTCTCTCCA